AGCAGCATTTAGGTTCTATTTGTTGAATTCTTTACTCTCTTGAGTAAATTGGAACAATTGTGTTTTTTTTTTCAATGTAGGAGTACTGCTATTTATCACCCACTGATTAGCTGATTGAATTGGGCATAAACTCCACCATACTTTATTCCCATTTTTTTTATAATTTTATTGACTGAATCACTGTGAGGGCAGTTACAAAGCTTTTGGGTTTAAGTCTCGGTCATTCAATGAAACACCCGCACCTTCACCAGTGCCCATTCTACATTCCCCAAAACCCCAGTATACCCCCATTCCACACCCTCTCCCTACCTGTGGGACAGATGATTTCCACATTACTTTCTGTACTTTGATTACATTCAATATGTTGACACCAGACCTACGATATTATTTGGAATTTTACCCCAAAACTCAGATCTCCAGTAGACAATTTGATTTTTATTGCAGGTTATGAATGACATTATGATGCTGTGTTGGTGCAGTAGTGGCCACGTGATTTTGAAATTCCAAAATTTTTACAATTAAATCTGGAGGGATTTCTGCCAAAAGCAGCTGGGTATCAAGATTTGTTTCTGAGTCTCTGTGATCATGGCCATTAAGCAGCTAGATCAGGAGCCAGAGAGGTCTTTCGTGGATGACGACTCGGGGTCTCATTGGGGTGGGAGGGAAAGGGCCGGCTACACACTCATTCCATGAGGCCCTGTGTCATTGCGGGCCCAAAGCTGATTTTCCAATGGCATCTGGCGGATAGCGGCCACAAAGCCGCCAAAGGGGAGTATCCTTGAGGGACAGTATCCTTTCCCCCCTGGGGTGGCCTGGAGACAGTGACCTACTGCGGGGTCCGGTCACATTTCTGCCAAAAGCCGTTGGATTTCAAGATTTTTTTTATGAGTCTCTGAGATCATGGCCGTTAAGCAGCTTGATCAGGAGCCAGAGAGGCCGTTTGTTTACTCTGGGCCTTGTTGGGATCGGAAGGAAAGGGCCAATTTCACCCCAATCCCATGAGGCCTCATGTGTCTCGTCACTGTGGGCCCAAACCTGACTGTCCAGTGGCCTCTGGATGATGGAATACAAAGATGGAACATCACAAACACCCACGAACACCAAGGACAATGCTCTTCTATTGTTGCTTGTTGAAAGGGATAGGGACTAAACATAGTTCATTAGTCAAAAGCCAATGCAATGAATTCCATCACAGCCAATATCCTTATGCAATGTAGTTGTAGGAGGGCTGGATTCTGTTTAGATCCTCTCTAGGGGCGCTTCCTCTTTTTTCCCAGTCCCTCCCGTTTTGGGGGGGGATCCTGCTTGGGGGCTCCCCACTACAAGCCCCTAGAATCTTTTTCAGAGAAGCACTACTCCTAAGCTTCCTGTTTTCCTTTCCTACTACTTGTTCCCATCTGCTAATCAGGAAGGCAGTGACCTGAGAGTCAGAAGCAGGAGGGAGCCTTGGAGAGTTGGGGTGCAGTTGGAGGGGTGCAGTGGGGAGAAGTGGGTGGGGGAGATCCCTCCAGCAGGACCCAGAGCCAGGGGCTGGAGAGCGCAGCAGGGTTGGGAAGGCACCACAGCATGGGGGTCCTATGGGGAGGAAAGACAGTGACCCTAACAGGTCAGAGACCCTACAGGGTTAACCCAAGGAGCTGCCCCAGCATGCAGCCAATTCTGACCCCTGTCAGTCTTGCTCAGCCTAGGGCCCCTGGATGCCCAGACCCTCAGAGCTCTAAACACCTCCCTCTAAACCAAACAACAACAACAACCACCACCAAAAAAAACCGATCTTTTGACCATCAGAAGGCAGGATCAGACCAATTCCCTACCTGGACCAGCATAGCTCTTCCATTGCGCTCTGGACTCCAGGTGACTTGGGCTTGGATTATGCCCTCCAAGTTCTTTTTGGCTTCCTGGCCCCCTTTGGAGGGCTGCGTTGGGCTGTCAGTTCCTCCTGGATCTGAGGAGCAGGGTCTGTAGATAGGGGGAGGAACTTTCATTAACACAAACTTTAGTGATTTTGTTTCAGTCATACAATGATCAAATACTCAACCCTCCACCAGTGCCCATTCTCCACCACCAATGTTTCCAGTACCCTTTCCCCCCACCCTCCCCCCTGCCCTGAACATCCTCTGGCAGGCACATTCCCTTTTATTCTCTCTCCTTTTCAGTGTTATGGTTCACAATACTGGTACTAAGTGCCCATTCTGTTCGGTCCATAGTCTACTTTCAGCACACATCTCCCATCCTGAGCGAGCCCTCCAAGTATCATTTACTTGGTGGTTCCTTCTCTATCTCAGCTGCCTTTTCTCCCAGCATATGAGGTCAGCTTCCAACTCATGGAGCAATCCTCCTGGCCCTTATCTCTACTACCTTGGGTGTTAGTCTCCCATTATTTTACTTTATATTCCACAAATGAGTGCAGTCATTCTATGTCTATCCCTCTCTCTCTGAATCAATTCACTTAGCATGATACTGTCCATGTTAATGCATTTAGGTACGAATTTCATGACTTTGTTTTCTAACAGCCACATAGTGTTCCATTGTATAGATGTACAGAGTTTTTTTTTTTACCCATCATCATTCTCAGGCACTCAGGTTTTGTTCAGATTTTGGCTGTTGTAAATAGTGCTGTAATAAGCATACAATTGCAGATGTCATTTCTATTGTATTTTTTTGCATCTCCTGGATATATTTCCAGAAGTGGTATTGCTGGGTCAAATGGGAATGCAATTTATAATTGTTTGAGAAAGGCCAAAAAGCTCTACTATACAACAATGACCTGTATAGTAAAGTCACAGGCTATAAAATCAATACCCAAAAGTCCATGCCTTTCCTATATGCAAATAATGAGAGAGAAGAAAGTGAGATGAAAAAAGCAATCCCATTCACAATCTTGTCTCAGAAAATCAAGTACCTTGGAATTAGAAAACTAAGGAGGTAAAGGACCTGTACAAATAGAACTACAAAATGCTACTTTAAGAAATAAAAGAGGACAGGAGGTAATGGAAACACATCCCCTGCTCATGGGAGAATTAACATTGTCAAAATGGCAATACTCCACAAAGCATTATACAATCCCTATAAGATACCTATGAAATTCTATAAATAAATCGACCAAACACTCCTGAAATTCATATGGAACATCTAGCCCTCACGTGTAGCACGTGTAGCTAGAGCAATTATTGGGAAAAAAGAAAATGGGAGGCATCAGCTTCCCCAACCTCAAACTCTACTACAAAGCGGTAATAATTAAAACAGCATAATATTGGAACAGAGGCAGAGCCGAAGAGCAACAGAACAGGGATGGATATCCTTACACACACCCTTGAGTATATGATCATCTAATCTTTGAGAAGGGAACAAGAAATGTGATGTGGAGCAAGGAAAACCTCTTTAACAAATGGTGCTGGCAAAACTGGACAGCTACATGCAAAAAAAGGGGGGGGGCTCAGAACTCTACCTAACACTATGTACAAAATTAGATCAAAATGAATTAAAGACCTCAACATCAGACCAGAATCCATAAGGTACATTGAAGAAAAGGTAGGCAAAACATTGAAGCTAATGGTATCTTCAAAGAGGACACTCCACTGACCAACCAACTGGAAACAGAGATAAACAAATGGGACTATCTTAAACTAAGAAGCTTCACACCTCAAAAGATACAGTGGCCAAAATACAAATCTACAGAATGGGAAAGGATAGTCACCCAATACCCATCTAATATGGAGTTGATATCAAGGATATACAAGGCACTACTTGAACTCTACAAGGAGAAATCATCCAATCCCATCAGAAAAATGGGGCGATGAAATGAATAGAAACTTTCTCAAAGAAGAAATCTGAATGGCCAAAAGGCACATGAAAAAACGCTCATCACTAATCATCAGGGAGATGCAGATCAAAACAACAATGAGATACCCTCTAACACCACAGAGACTGGCACACATCCAAAAGAACAAAAGCCACCCGTGTTGGCAAGGATGTGGGGAGAAAGGGACCCTCCTTAACTTTGGTGGGAACGCCAGCAGGTTCAGCCCTTTTGAAAACAATATGCATGTTTTTCTGGGTGTTTTAGTTCCTGTCTTCTGCAAGGTTGCCTTTCACAACTTCAGGGCTATTACTTCCCAGGAAATTTACTGCCATTGCCTTGGGAAGGGGCCTTCCCTATCTGCCTGCCTGCCTACACAGCAACACTTGCTATGTGAGTTCCTTTACTTCTATTTGAGTTTTTTTTTAGATTATTGTTTGTTTTATCAGGTTCTGTTAGCATATCTCTGTTCAAATATCATTTTCAGATCCTTAAACTTGGGTGGGATTGGGTTGTAATCTGGTAGAAGAGAAAGATGCAATGTGAAAGCTTCCCGGACTTTGCCCACCCTCCCCGTTCTCCGGGGTTCGGGCGCTGGGTCCAGTGCGGGGCTGGGCCGAGATGGTGCCCTCCTAGCTGTGTCGAGGCAGAGTCCTGGGCGCTGCTCTGCCAGGTCGGGCCTTGTCCTCACGGGCGGCCGCCGCCCTCGGCTGTGCAGGGCTGCGGGATGGGGCGAGCTCCCGGGCGCCCCGTCTGCGCCCCGAGGGTTCCGTCCCCGGGTTCCGAGTCGGGTTCTGAGTGCGAGTGGGAACGGGCCGGGCTCCTCCGTGACGGCGCGCGGGGCCGACAGGTGCCCGGGCTCCCGGGGTTCCCCAGGGTCGGGAATTGGCGGCTTCACCGGGCAGCGAGCGCTCGGCCTGTGCCAGCCAAAACCCAAGTTCCTCATGTTTGCCACTCAATGCCTCTTTTGCAGACCACAACACCCAAACGGAGAGAGAGAACACAGGGGATTGCCCTGCCACAGAGGCAGGGGGGATGGGGGGATGGGGGTGGGAGGGATATTATCCATGGTGGTGAAAAACGGGCACTGGTGGAGGGATGGGTATCTGATCATTGTATAATTGAAACCCAAGCACAAAAAAAATTGTAAATCTACAACTGTAAAAAAATAAATAAATAAAAATAAAATATAGAGGCAGGGGGCGGCCATGGCGTCCGGCGGGGTCGGCGTGAGCGCTGCAGCCGGGGCCGCCTATGCCACGGACATGCCGGACAACGTGTGCGACTGGCTTCGGGGCGTCTACCGCTTCGCCACTGACAGGAACGACTTCCGGAGGAACTTGATCCTGAATTTGGGACTTTTCGCTGCTGGAGTTTGGCTGGCCAGGAACTTGAGCGACATTGATTTAATGGCACCTCAGCCTGGGGTGTAACCCAGAGGCACAAGGAATCCCTGTAGAACCTTCCAAAGACAGCTCTAATCTGGCTTTCCTGATGGCAGCTGATGTGATCCAGAGGGACCTTCCCAGTTTCCTCCTCTTCCCACGAGTCCACTCAGAACTCCATCCTCTTGGCAGCATTCAGGCTTCAGTCGCGGTGATATCCTGTTTTGTGAAGTTCTGTAATGGTCCCCAAGTTTCTGGAGGGGTGCACTTTGACCTTATGTATGGTATTTAAACAATATTTGAAATAAAGACTACATACAAAGGCAAAAAAAAATAAAAAATATAAAAAAAAAATTAAATAATCACCAAAAAAAAAAAAAAACCCAAGTTCCTTCCCCTTGGCCGCGGCGGGGTTTCGCGGTGCGCCGGGCTCCGTGTCGCTGGTCACGTGGTGGTGTCGTCAGGCCAGCTGGAGCCCCGCCTGCCTATTGCTACTGCACCTCCCCCCGAGGACCGCGCGCCGGTCGAAAACGTCGGTCGCCTTCACCCCGGTCGCGCCGGCAAAGCTGATGGCTGGGCTCGGGCCCGCGCTCACGCTCCTCCTCGTCCCTCTGCTCGTGGGGGCAGCGCTGGCCGATGGCGGTGAGTCGGGGCCAGTGTGGACCGCTGACCCCCGGGAGGGCGCAGTTCCCGACCGGCGGAGGGGGAGTGGGGGGAGGGTGGTGTTGGGGGTGCGGAGGAGGGGTGCGGGTCCTGGCACACCGGGACTGCAATGAAGCTAGAGAAAGAAGCAGAGAAGGGAAGGGGAGAAGGGGCGCACTGAGCGCCCCCAACCCCGCGGGTTCTGCGAAGCCGGAGCTCCGAGCCCGAGCCTGGGGAAAGTGCGGGACAAGGTGGGGGGTTGGTGGGGAGGGTGGTGTTGGGGTTGCGGAGGAGGGGTGCGGGTCCTGGCACACCGGGGCTGCAATGAAGCTAGAGAAAGAAGCGGAGAAGGGAGGGGGAGAAGGGGCGCACTGAGCGCCCCCAACCCCGCGGGTTCTGGGAAGCCGGAGCTCCGAGCCCGGGGAAAGTGCGGGACAAGGTGGGGGGCGGGGGTGGGGATGGGGGAGGAGAGGACTCCGCGAGCACCCGCCCGGAGAACAACTTCTGCCCAGTTGTGTCCAGAGGGTCCTTCCCGCGCTCCCCTCCCGCCGGCCCCGCCTTCTGCTCGGCTCTCCCGGGACTTGTACCGGGGCCGCGCTCCCCCCCCCCCCCCCCCCCCCCGCCCTCGCCAAAGCTGCTTTCGCAGGGGGCAGTTCAGCCTCTGTCTGCGGCCCTGCTTCATTTCATTACTTCCTTCTCAGAAACCCGGTGCGCCTCTCCTCCCTCTCCCTCACCCTCTCCCTCACCTTCTCCCGCTCCTCCTCCCTGTCCCTCTCACTCTCCACCTTATCCCTCTTTCCTCTCCTAAGCCCTCTCCCTCTCCCTCACCCAGAGGGGATCTTCCACCCTTCCTCACTCCCCGCTGCCAGGGAATCTGCCCATGCTTCTCACTTGCCACCCTACAGGGAACCCCACTTCTCCCCCTTGGACCCAAACACAAATACCAGGTGTCCAGGAGGGGCCAAGAGTAAATCTTCCCTAAGGGGGCAGAAAGTGAGAAGGTTTTTTTTTTTTTTTTTTTTTTTACCAGAAACCACAAAAGTCTCCCTGAGTTCTCTAATACATCCTGTTTTGCCAGTGGCTTCAGGGTGGAGAGAATGTCCCCTGCTTACCACAGAGTGAGTTTCCACCTTTTAGGAGTTCCTGAGGGCACCCCTTGAAGCTATACGTGCCCCTGAGGATGCATCCCTAGGGTTGACCTGTCACCCTCTGTGCAGCTTCTTTGTTCTCTGGGCCTGCTCAGGCCATGCCAAAGGGGCACTTCTGCCTGTGACCTTTTTGTTTGTTTGTTTTGGTTTTCCTTTTTTTTCTTTTTTTCTTTTATTTTTTTGACAAAGAAAACAGCCAAAAATTTTCTTTTTTTGTTTTTTTATTTTTTGGTTTTCCTTTTTTTTTTTATAATACACGATTACTGCTATTTATTCAGCCATTGATTAAGCTGATTGCATTGGGCATGAACTCCACATTACTGATTTTTAATTCAGAATGTTAATTTTATTTTATTACTATTTTTATTATTATTCTTTTCCCGCATGAGTTATAAAGCTTTCCTGTTTGAGTTTCAGTAATACAACAATCAATCACCCGAACCTCCACCAATGCCCATCTCCCATCCCCAAGGTCCCCCGAATCCCCCAATCCCACCCCTCCCCTAGCCTCTATGGCAGACAATGTGCCCCAGACTCTCTTTTGTATTGCTTGTTATAAATAGCAGAAGATGTTGCAGCCTCACTCTCCTGGAATTCTGAAATTTTAGATAATCAGACTCTGGAGAAATCTCTGCAACAGGAGGAGTGAGCTGCTCAGTTGAAGATTCTTTTGTGTGTCTCTGGATCAGGATCATTCAGGAGCTTAAGTAGTAGCTGGAGGCAATTTGTGAGCATGACTTCCCTGGTCCCATGGAGATGGGGACATGTGAAGGACCAGCCCATGCCCTATTCCTTGAGGCCTCGAGTTTGCCATCACTGAACCCATGTACTTGCACTTTTCATTGGGTTCTGGAGGTTGGTGGTGCCAGGATTCTGAGGGGGTAGGTGGAAGGACGACACCTGTCCCCGTCTGAGGCACCCCAATGAAGTCGGCCCGGCTTTAAAATCCAGAGGCATCTCTGCAGGGACCTACTCAGTTCGGAGATTCTTTTGTGTGTCTCTGGATCATAGAAATCTGGGCACATTCTACTGCCTGCTGTAGCCAAGTGAAAGGTCTTCTGACTCCTGGGGAGGCCGAGGAATCACTGAACTTGTCAATGGAAAGGTTCCCTCCTGACTTGAACTGGCCTGGCCTGGCAGTGCAGAGTTCCAGAACTGAGAAATGGGTCAGTTCTGGAAACTAGAGAAGTGGTCTGGGAGACATCAGGCAACCTACTTTTATTCACTGTATCATTGTATCGCTGTCAATCCTGTTGTTCATTGATTTGCTCTAGTGGGCACCAGTAATGTTTCCATTTGTCCTGAGATTTAGAAGCCTCTCCTTACTCATCCTTTCCAACAGTGCCTCATTGGAGGCTCTGTTAAGGTGAGGGGAGTGAGACCCATCATTGTTGCTGGTTTTGGCATATCGAATATGCCACAGAGAGCTTTCCGGGCTCTGCCATGCAGGCAGGATACTCTCGGTAGTTTACAGGTTCTTGGAGAGGAATTGGTTTGGGGTTGGTTTTGTGTTTTTCCTGGCTCTGTTTCTTTAAGCACATATATGAGTTGCATCTTCCAGAACTTGCCTTTCTCATTCTAAATTTCTTGATACTTTCCAAGTCTAATCTTGGAGTAGAAAATGCCATACTTCATTTTTCATTAGCTCAATAAGTTTTCATTACATGTATATAAATATATATACCACATCTTCTTTTTCAACGTCTAAAATTTTTATTATTGTTTTTATTAGTTAATTAGTGCCCAAAATATGGTATTGATGTACAAAATTACTACAGCCTGTCAAGATCAAATTGTACACACTCCCCCCTGCGTGTCCCTGTGTCAATTCTAGTCCAGTCATTATCTCTCCAACCCCACTTCCAGTACATAGCACTTCTTCTTTATCCAACCACCTTTCATTGGCACTTGGGTTATTCCATATTCCCTTGTGAATGCTACTATATGAATACAAGCATGTATGTGTTCCTTCTGTTTGTGTTCCCATACTCTTTGCATCGATATAGAAGCCTAGAATTGCTGAATTACATGGTACATCTACTTTCATTGTTGTGAGAAATGTCCATACTGAGTTCCAAAGGATCAGCACTGACCTGATAATCTCTTCCGTGCAATCCAGTGGATGTGGGCAGAGGCAACATCAAAAACTTAGGACCTATTAATGTCAATGGCATTTGGCACAGACCTGTATCCCAAATGAGCATACCATGACACAGTACAATCAAACTGGTAAAATCAAAGATAAGAGAGAATGGTAAAATCAATGATAAAATGTACACCTCTGAAAGGAACACAAATAAGACTACAACAAGTTTTCCTAAGAGGAGATCTGTAGAGGGGCTGGAGCAATAGACAGCAGATAGGGTGTTTGCCTTGCACAAGGCCAACCTGGGTTCGATTCCCAGCATCCCATATGGTCCCCTGAGCACCACCAGGGGTAATTCCTGAGTGCATGAACCAGTAGTAACCGCTGTGCACTGCTGGGTGTGACCCCAAAGGCAAAAAAAAGAGAGGAGATCAGTAGGTCAGAGAGTGCCTGTAATGATATACTGAAGGGCTGAATGGAAAGAATCTCGAACCAAGAACTCTACTGAACTAGATTATCATGCATACTACAAAGAGTGATAAGGAGCTTTGCAGACTAACAAGAGTTAAGGGAATGCATAATCACTAAATCAGCCTTGTAAGAAACCCTGTAGGAACATTTACAAGAAGAAATAGAATTGTACTTGGAAGCAGTAACACTTTTTAAAACTGTAATTGTTGGGGAGAGGCAGTGCTGAGGGATGAAAGAGGTTAAGGTAGTTACCTTGTATGCAGCCAACCCGCACTCAGTCCCCAGTATTTTCTGGTTCCCTGAGCACCACTGAGGGTGACCCCTGAATAGAGAGGCAAGATTAGCCCCTGAGAGTCATCGGGTATGCTCCAAAACTAAAGGAAGTAACAATAATACATAATATGAGGACCAGGGATATGTCTCAGTAGTTGAGCACTTGCCTTGCTAACCTGAGTTTTCCCTTCACAGACATTCATTCTCTACGCTATAACTTCACCATACCACTTGAGTCCAGTTCTGTGCAACCGTGGTGTGATGTTCAAGGTCAGCTGGATGCAGATAATTTTCTTTCCTACTACTGTGGAAGTGACACTGTCAAGAATATGAGTGTCCTGGGGGTGATTTTGTCTGCCACAGAGACCTGGGAAGACCAGATTGAAATGTTGAAAGAAGCAGGGAAATTGTTCAGACAATCCTGTCCTGACATGAAACTGGAAAATTTGTTTGCCAGGGGTAAGTTGGAGAGATTCATGTCCAGAGGAAAGCAGATTCTAAGGTTAAACGCTATATAAATATGACCATGTACATACACACACACACACACACACACATACATGTTTAGAATATGGTACTTACGTCTAAGGAAATGTTTTTTTTCATCACTTCTAGCATATTATTTTTTTTTTTCCCGTCCCTCCACCTCCCAGCCCTGCCCCATGGTCGGCCCATACCTCCATCCC